CGCAGCATGCGGTGGTCAGCAAACCGTTGCCCGCGGAGCGCGGCATTATGCGTGGCGTGCTCACGCCCAGCGCGCTCGAGAAGAACATATTCCGCTACAATGATCCCACGGTGAATGTGCGCCTCCAGCAACAGCAGCAGCAGCAGCAGCAGCAACAATTGGAGCAGCAGCAGCAGCAGCTGCTCTCGAACTCGCAAAGCTCGATTGCAAATGCCGGTGGCTACATGAGCTCACCTGTGCTGCAGCACGCCCAGTCGCAGAGCTCGATGGCATCCTCCTCGTTAAACGGCAGCAACAGCAACTTGTTGATGCAGCCGCATCCCGCCCAGCACCAGCCGCATTGCCCGCCGGCACCGCAGACGAGCGCCGCCAGCACCATGGAGCGCTTGGATCGGCTGGGCCATACCTATCAGTATGTGGTCAATCACAATGGCAATGCCGCCGACTATGACAGCTCCACGGGCAGCTCCCGGGCGCGCACCTTGCCCCGCAACAACATCAACAACAACAACAATTGCAACAACAATTGCAACAATAGCAATCAGAGCGGCAGCTACGACGACATGCCCGGCGAATTCATACAAATCTCTGGCCTGGACACCAGCAGCGCTTTCGTGCGCAAATCTCCGACGCCGCTGCTCAAAGCGAGCGCCGCCGCATCAGCCGGAGCTGGAGCCGGAGCTGGAACACGTGGCCAGCGCATTAATCGTCACAATCTGAACCTTAATCTGGGCATACCCGATCACTCAGGCCACAGCAATTATGCGCGTGGGCCGCTCAATCCCAACTCGAACATGCCCAAGAATCTGGAGGATCTCGACGATCTGTTCAAGTACGCCGAGGAACAGGAGGTTATTATCGAACCGCAACCGACTGGCAGCCACGCCCACGCCCATGCCCATGGACACGGCCATGCTCAGGGTCATGGTCACAACAAGCAACAGCTGTCGGCCAAGAGCAGCCACTGCAGCTCCGGCTACCAGAGCATCTCCACCAATCCCTCGCCCGCACAGTCCTCCAGTCCCGTGGAGAGCCAGCTGCAGCCGCAGCAACCGCAACAGCAGCAGCGACAGCTGAACGCACCGCTGGCCTTTAAGAATCCCTCGTACCAGCTGCAGAGCTGCACCAGCAATAGCGGCGGCATGCCCAACGCGTCCGGACGTGGCCCGGCTACGCCGCAGCCGGGCGCATTTGGCGGGCGTGTCAAGCCGCTGGGCGCTGGCCTTGTGGCGGCACGCGCCGCCTTTCTGAACAGCGGCGGCACCTTGGATGCGGCCACCCTGACACCGAGCTCCTCGGACGAGCAGCTATCGGCGGACAACTATTATAGCTATGCGGCGGCAGCGGCTGCCGGCGCCAATGTGGCCAACAAACTGGAGGCACAGCGCTCCCTCAGCGGCGGCAGCAGCTCCTCCAACTCCAACTCCAATTCTGGCAAGCCGCACGCCTATGGCCGGCTCAATGGCGGTGGTCCGCTCAAGCGCGAGGATGTCTACGGCAGCGCCAGCGGCATGGGTGTCGCCTATGCCATGTCCGCGCCGCATCATCACCAGCAACAGCCACAGCAGCAGCAGCAGCAGCCGCATCAACACCATCATCATCCCCATCCCCACCAGCAGCAGCAGCAGCACCAACAACAACAGCAGCTGCCGCAGCAACAGCCGCAGCAGCAGCAGGAACACAAGCAATACGCAAGCAGCGGCGGCGCCAGCAGCGCAGCAACCTCCTCGACGGCGGTGGCCCAGCGACGCCTCAGCCTGGACTCGGCGCGAACGCTCTCCGATAGCAGCACCGACACTGAGGGTGAGTACGGCCAAAAAAATCTGGTTAAAGGCACGTTTTGTCATGCTCGTGGCAACATTTGTCCACATGGAAAATATACCAAGCGTATAAGTTCGTCAAAATGGATTGTTTTATGCAACAAAATATCTAGAGTTTGAGTCAGATGTTCATAAATACCTTCAAAGTTGGCAGTTTAATTTATATGCCAGGTAGATAAGGTGCATGTTAACTTTTGTCATGCAGATGAATTACGGCCAAAACAAAGTGCCTAAATGTGCTATTTTTATCAATCAAATTATGCGCATTGCAATTTTTATAAGCAAAGATAAAGTGCTGGTCCATTTATATTCTAACCAGACAGATTAGTTTAACGCGATTTTTGCCAGGCAGATTAAGTGCACGACAATCTCTTGGAAAGAGATGAGGCTTAATTTTCGCTGATTTAATATTAGATCTCGTGTGGATTTTACCAAACAAACTTAAGTTAATGCAAATTTCTTAGTCAGGTTCGTAAAGTGCATGTCAAATTTGACAAGGTAGTTGCACTCTAATGCTTTGCCAAGCATATAAAGTGCACGTCAAAATATAAAAGGTAGATAGAGATAGATTCCAAAATGTTTTGCCAGGCAGATAACGTGCATGACAAATTTTTCAAAGTAGATAGAGTGCATTCCAATGTTTTGCCGGGCGGATAAAGTGCATTGCAACCTTTGGCGAACATCTGAAACGAAATTGAGTGCAACAATATTGTAAAGTATCTGTTAAATTTGTAATGAACACGAAAAAACTGTCCGTTAACTACATATTTTCACCTGCTTTAATGCAATTACCTAACTATGAATCCTTCCTTGCGACCAGGTCACTGCGCTCAGTTGCAGGAGGGCAAACGACGTCGCCAGCTGCGCAGCAGCAATAACAGCGGCGGTGCTGGCGGTGGCTCGGAGTCGTCGGGCCTGTGCAAGGGCTACGATCAGAATGGCGAAATCCAGCTGCTGCAGGAGACGCTGGACACGCTGCGCCACACTCTGGACCGTGACGAGGCCGAGCTGCGCGATTCGAGCGACGAGCTGTTCGCGCTACAGCGACCAGGCTGCGCCGGCGGCAGCAGCGGTGGCAATGGCATCAACAATCTGTCACAGCAGTCGGAGTCGACCATGCGCAGCATTATTGACAGGTGAGTGGGGCCCCAACGCCCGTGTGTTGTCCCCTCGCTCGCACCAGCCCCAACTAATATCAGGCAAAACCTTTGCAGGCTCATCACCATGGAGGAGGAGCTGCGCCGCGAGCAGCTTAAAATGTCCCTGGCGCTGTCCCACAAGCAGCGCGTCATCGAGGAGCAGGGCCAGCAGATTGCGGCGCTAGACGCCGCCAACAGTCGGCTGCTGAGCGCCCTGACAGCGTTGCGTCAGCGCTACGAGACGCAGCAGCAGCAACAGCAACAGCAGCAGCAGCAGCAGCAAGCACCAAAGAACCAGAAGCCACAGTGAGCGGTTGGAGCGGAGCCGGCGGAAGCAGGCGCGACAGAAGCGGCAAGCGGTCAGGGTTGAGGTTGCATGTAGATTAGCTACAGCCTGCACCCAGCACATGGATACACACACACACACACACACACACAGACACACATAGAAGTTGAAGCTGCCGCCGTTGTCGTCGTGTAATTTTTTTTCGTCAGATTAAGATACATTTTTGTTTAAAAACCTTTTTTTTTGCGCCAATTTTTTTTTAATGCTATGCTATATAAATTATACTACATGTTTAATATAATACATACATATATATATATGTATGCATATATATATATATTTATATATATATATATATATATGTATATATATTTATATATATATATACATAAATAATACATACATATTATACATAATTTCTCAAGCTATGTTTAAACAAAATGATGTACAACAAAAACGCAACTGTTGCTGCAGCAGCGGCAACGGCAGAAGATTGTAAAAGTTAATATAAAAAATAAACAAAAGAAGCAGAGAACAGGACGAAGAAGTGTGCAGAACAAGTTAAGTTAATGAATAAAATTATAACCAAAGTTAGACAAATTTCGTTGTGCATATTCATTTGTTTATGGGGCAAGTCGGGGAAAAATGCGAAAACGAACCGTTTTGGTGCATTTCTGGAATATCTCGGGTCGGATTATGGATCGATAGATCTTTTTAGACTGTTAGGGATCATATATTCGAATTGCAAGGGATTCCACCACACAACGAGTCGAGTGATAGGCGAATAATTTGTAACAACAGAAGAAGGGCTGCATTTTTATTTATTCTAGGATCCGTTGCCTAAAAATCTGGTAATAATATTATTAGCAGTAATACCCACGCTTACGATCTGGAATTCCTTGCATGTATCAGCCTAGCCCTCTTCATGTGGCGCCAGCTACAGTCCAACTGGGGAACATGCTAATTATCTGTGTTCGCTTAAAAGTATGCAACGAATAATGTAAGTAACAACTGTGCGCTACTGGCGCCATCTGCTGTAATCGAACTGCTACTACACATTTTGAAACGCGCATGGCTCGCGGCATCTACAGTTCATTTATGTAGCTAAGCAGCCGCTTAACGAGCAACAGATGACGGCACGCGCACCGATTTTATTACTGGCCCAGAATGTGAAGAGCATTACACAACAATAAATACTGTCACCAACCAAGCAGCAGACAAATCTGTGCTTTGACCTAACCCAGCAGCCGGGCCAACATCTCCGCTTAGCGCCTTTCAAGTGGCGCGTTCTACAGTCAAACTGTAGTACATGTTAATTATTTATGTTCGATGAAAAGTATGCAATGGAAAATGTAAGTAACAACTGTGCGCTACTGGCGCCATCTGCTGTAATCGAACTACTACTACACATTTCGGAACGCGCGTGGCTCGCGGCATCTACAGTTCAGCTCTGTAGCTAAGCAGCCGCTTAACGAGCAACAGATGACGGCACGCGCACCGATTTTATAACTGGCCCAACAGAATGGGATTAGCCGATTGTGTGTGCGGAGTGCCGAGCATTACGCAACAATAAAAACTGTCACCAAACAAGCAATAGATAAATCTGTGCTGTGACCCAATCCAACAGCCGGGCCAACAGGTAAACAGGTAAGCGATCCATAAAACGGGCCGCCGCCACCGCCGCTTCAATGAGCTGAAATTCCAAGGGTTTTCCAGAGCTGTGCGCCATTCATAAAAATCTGGCTCGTCGGCCGCATTGCGCACATGTGTTGTCAATTACCTAAACGCCCGTCCGGGCGCACAGGTAGCATCCGTCGCCAGGTAGACTGTGGGATTTTCCGGCCAATTGTTGAATGAACGCAACATAAAACCAGCCGAATGCTGCCCAAAGACAGTTAGAAGCCAAGCCAACGTCAGCCAGTCAAGTCCAGCATGTTCACGTCCAGAAGCTCAGCAAACGCCGTGCCGCGCACCAGTTGCATCACCTGCATCATTTTGCTGCTCGCGCTAGGCGCCGCCGCCGGCAACGTGCTCCGGGAGCGACTGACGCTGCCCCAACAGGTGCGCATCTGGCAGTGTCGCCAGCGCTGCTATCAGCAGACGCTGCTGCAGCCGGTGACGCCGGCACTGTGCCACGCCCGGCCGGATTGCTATATGTGCCACGACTATTGCCGCGTTCTGGTCGTCGCCGAATGGAGCCTGGCCAGATCCATGTGTGCGGATCGCATCTTCTGCAGCCGCGGCTGTCGCACCGCCTGCCGGTTCCATCAGCTGCACACGGCTAATGCGGCGCCATTCGCCAATGCCCTCAGCAAGGCGTGAGGCAAGCGCACGGGCGGGTCAAGGCGGGGTCGGGTTCGGGGCTGCTTGTGGGTGTGGGGCAGGGTAGCTTGTATATAAATTAAAATAGCAACTAAGCTCTAGATAATATGACCAATAAACTAAATGTAAAAGCAAAAAAGAAAAAAAAAAAAAAATTTTCAATATGTTGCCGCATGTTGCACAAACAGAACCAGAAATTGGCCAGGCTGTTGCCACAGCAGCTGTTGCCGCCGCCGCCGCCGCCGCCTCGCTTTATTAATCAGCAGCATTGACCCTGCCGCAAAAGTTATTGCAACACAAAAAAAGTGGTATAAAAAATAAAGACATTAAATTAAAAAAAAAAAAAAAATGCTGCTCGCGCATAGAAAAGCACGCAACAGGTGGCCGGCAGCAGCAGCGGCAGCAGCGACTGCGGCAGCGACGTCGCCAGCTCCTGATCAGTTTGTGGCGCAGACTTCGGGCCGGATATTGGCTTTGCGTATTTATTTATATTGTTCGCTTCTCTTACTTTTCGGGCCAACATATGGCGCTCTCGGCCAAGCTCTCGAGACGCCGCCCTCCCCCCTAACCCCTTTACCCTTCCACATATCGATGCCAGCGCTGCGATAAGGCCAACGATGCCCGGCTAACGGTTCGCACACATCTCCAGTTCGCTCCGATATTGACATTTGAATCTCCACGCATATTGTTTGCTTTAACACCTAATTACATAATTGGCGCTCCCCCCCGCGGCGGCGTGCTCGGCCCCCCCCTGCCGTCGCCTGTCACATAAAGCAGCGGCGAGCGCATAAAAGCCGAGCAATGATCGTAAAAAAATCGATTTGAAGTCCATAAAAATCATATCAATACAAATTTTTATATGCCATCCACATTTTAAAAGATGTCTCGTTTTGGTTAACCGAAGCACAGTAGAAGGGGTTGGGGAGCAAGGGGTTGGGGGTCAGACAACAAAAGCGAAAAATAAGAAAAAATAAAAATGAGATTTATATACACTATGCAGCAAAGTTGCGAACCGTTTATGAGATGAAACGGTTCAAATTTACTTAAAGCCAAGTTATTTTCGTTAATTCGAGCCATTTTGATGGTTCAAACTTAGCCGCGAAGCACACTTAAATTTGGCTCCAATTGTTGCCCTTGTCTAAACATATTTTGCAGATGCCAATTTTGATTAGAGATCAAAGTTGGTTGAAAGAGGGCTTAAACCAAAACCTGGCCGAAACATGTGGAAAGTCAGGGTCAAGAATCGAAGCTAAAGGCAGGAATTTAGCTTAAAGCCAGATATAAATATATATTTGTTTTCAGATCTGTAGACATCAAGTACGAAAGTGGTTTCTGGTCTAACAAACAAGAAAGTGCTGCGACCGGATCGAGGTTACAGCATGAGGCCAAAGAAAAGCATTCGAAATAAAAAAAAAGCTAAGCTGCATTTTTGAAATCAAATTAAATGTCACGACAAATGGCCGTAAAAGAAATGACAAATAAATTTCCCATTGAGCAACAGGTGCTTGAGAGAGGCTCTACGTCTAAACGTACATTTCCCAGCACGTCCGGCTATTCGAATTTGCTTTCCCCCCCTACCCCTCCGCCCTCTCCAACATGGGCCACTCTTTGTCTCGCTCTGACTCTTTGTCTGTGCGATGAATTGAATAGTTTCCCGATGATGCAATAAATTCACAGATAAAATTTTTATTTACGATTAGCTGGCAAAGTTATGCAGCAGGCGGGTGGTGCTAAGGGGGGGGGGGGGGGGGTGTTGTTGTTGGTGGTTTTGATGGTGAGTTGGCGGGCATTGTTCAGGTGTCATATGGACATGGAGACAGACTGTCTAGGCGCATTCTGGGCCGGACTTACAGTTGGCATCAGTTTTATTGAAATTGTTTGCGTCGCGGGCGAAATGCGGGCGTGCGGATCACGACTCGCTCACGAGTCGCTGCAGCGATATATATTAATTAATTATAAAGCCAGGCTGCGGCCAGAGAGAGCGAGAGCGAGAGCGAGAGAGAGAGAGAGAGGAGAGGGGGACAGCTGGACAGCCGGCTGCTCATAACGTGCACGAAGGTGAGAAATCAATTTTCAGTATCTCGCTTTGTGCTTAATACTTTTTCCAGTGAAATGCGCCGCTGTGCGACGTGGAGCTGCACAGCGCCCGGGGCCATCCAGGCAGGCAGAAACCCAGCCAGGGCAGAAGCCCAGGCGAAGGCTGAGCCACAGTCCATGCTCCGTTGTCGTCAGGCCTCAGAGTCAGAGACAGCCACAACTGGAGACGGGTGACTCGGGACCGCATGGACTGTGGACTGTGGACTGGGCCTGGGCCTGGGCAGCCCCGGCACGTAAATTAGGATAACAACGTGAAACATAATTATTACTTTGGACAGATATGGCAACCTCGACTGCGCCTGCGACTGCGCCGGGTCCTGCGCCAGCCGCTTGACTAGCTGACTGAATTTGAATACCCTCTAAAAAGCATGTCTGTACAAAATGCTTAAAACGCAAATGATATAAAATATTTGACTAGCTTAAGCTTAGTTTAATCTATCTATCTATCTTTATCTATCTCTCTATGCCTTATAATAATGTACAAAATCGTATAATGAAATCAGGCTTTAGTCCCTGGCAAGGGACAATAGTATTAAATTTGGCAATTTTCATTATTGTTGAATTATTTGCATTTTGAGTATCTTCAATTCCAGGCAGGACTTCAAATGTCAAATATATTAAATATTTATATTTATATATTAATGAGCATTTAATTTGACATGTTAAATTGTTAAGATTTTTAGTTAATTTGAAGTTGAATAATTTGCAAATTTATCATTAATTTCTGGCCTTTAAAAGTAAATTGAATAAAATATTCGCATATTAAATTAAATTGAATTTTAATCAAGGTAATTGCATTTTAAGTCGTTTTTTTTTTTTAATTTAATTTTATTTTTTATGACATATTTGACATATGTAAATAATATGCTAATATTTGTTTAAATCGCATTTTAATTTGCATTTTCTGTTGTTAATTCAGTTGATTTTTTATATTTACTTTTTAATTAGATTGCATGCCCGAATGATTGAATAAATTTATTTTGTTTATAAAAAAATACAAAATTGCATTTGAAAAAGAACGTGCGTCGGCCGGGAATCGAACCCGGATCAACTGCTTGGAAGGCAACTATGCTGACCATTACACCACCGACGCCACCTGGCGGCCATCAGATAAAAAAACAACATATAATCACAGCAGGCACTTGGCAGAGCTTGCACTATGCCAACAACAATTACATGTATCTATTTCTATGCATGCATATAAGGAAATAAATAATAATTTTTTTATTAAATATAAATAATTTTTGTTCAAATTAAAGCTAGTTTAAGGAATATTTGCTAAAATCATATTTTCTTATGAAACCAACATTGCCAATTCGAGCCAGCATTGCGTACAGGGTATGTTTAAGTCGTGCTCATCTCTTTTGCCGGATTTTTCGTTGTTTATTTTGCTTTTTTGTGGCCCAAATAAATGTATTAAAGTTGGTTAACGCCTTCATTTTTGCTTCGAACTGGCTGCGAGCCGCTGTTCAGGCCGGGTTCAAGCCTCCAAGTAGGTGTAATAAAAAATATGAATTGTTGTTGTTTGAAGTCGCAACAACAAAAAGAACAACAACAACAACAACAAGTGGAAGAAGAGGCTGAGGCACTCGAGCAGCAGCCAAAAATCATTCAGCGCATTTTACGAGCTGAGGCTGAAGTCGAATCGGATTTGGGTTTGGGATTCAGTTTCGGAATCCGTGTGAACAGCAAATTGGCAGGCGAAATGTGTGAATATGAGTGTGAATAACTGGCGAATGGGCAATCGAAATGCGTCGAAGTGAGTGCCAAAGAAGTGGCAATTGAATAAGATGAGTGCATGCCGTTAAACGGAATGAATATAAATGAATGAGTGTATGCAAACATAATTACATGGTGCCGAATGAGTCTTAATGGGTGTGCATTCATGAGTGTATTCATGAGTGCAAATTCAATTGAGTGATTTGTGCATTTACATGTTTGTGGTTGCATGCATTCATGAGTATATTCATGAGTAGTTGATAGACGCTTGATAAACTAATGAGCATATCAACTTATGAGTATATTCATGAGTGCATGAGACAATTCAAAAGTGTTCTTAAATTACATCATGGAAATATTCATGAATACATTCATTAAATAAATGCACAATTATATTCATATTTGAATCTACTGCTGCTTATATTCACATTTGCATTCACAAGTGCATTCATGGGTTGCACTCACATCAGTTTTTCATTTACTTTCAAATGCATGATTATTGCCAGGAATGTATAATACTTTATGCCACTGTTTTAATTGAGTGCATTCATTAGTGTATTCATGAATGTATTCATGAATGACGCATTATAAAATTAGATTTGAATAAGCTTTAAATTGATTCAATTGCATAAAAAATAAACAACTAACGAAATCCCAAGGTGTCAATTGGCATTTGATCCTTGGACTCATCAGGTAATTAACGCATGCCGCGCCGTTGCATAGCCGATGGGGGAGGGGGGTAGGTTAGGGTAATGCCCACCCGCTGTTGCAGCCTGGACGAAGGAAATGCCACAAAATTGAAAATGCAAAACGAAATTGGCAACTGGCAACTGGCAGCAAACGGAGTGGAGAGCGGAAATGTTGGCCGTGCGTAATGAAGACGTTAAGCTGAAGCTGAAACTGGGACTGGGGAACTCTCATGCTAAGGACTGCGACTTGCGAATGGGACTGGGACTTCGACTGGGACTTCGACTGGGACCGGGACTGAGGCTGGGACTGAGGCTGGCAGGCATGCGTCGCTGCTGTTGCAGTTGCCGACTGCGTAACTCTTTTGCGGCGGCTCGTTTTGGTTCCGCTTGCATGTTAACTGAAAATTCGTATGAAGGCGAGAAATTAATGAATCATTCACACCTGCATGACGGATTGTCGGCATTACTCTCCCGACATTGCTCTGGCTCCATTTTGAACGAACCAAACGAACCAACTGGAGGGGGCGCGACGCTCCTGACGCTTCTGCCACAAGGAGTTGCCTTCTAATTTATTTGCCTGATGTGTGTATTACATTTGTGGCCCCGACCCCGGCTGTATCCAGTCGCAGTCGCAGTCCCACTCGCAGTCGCAGTCGCCGTTGCAGTCGCAAACGGTGACCGTTCTTGTCCCGATTCCGGACGCGTTGCATTTCGTAAATTGCCTCTCGGCTATGCAGGTCGAGCCACTCAAGACGGTGGTTGACGGTGCCTGCCTGATGATGCGTTCAGCAGAAAGTATCTTTCAGATACAGTTGTTGGCTCGCACAATGGCCGAAATTCGTTTGAGCCGCAGCGAAAATCCAATTCATTGTTGCACGCCACGCACGTGGTGCACTGTTGCCTGCTGGCCCTTAACACCTGAGTACCCGAGCACCTTAACCTCAATCTCATTAATTATTAATGACAGACACTTCTTGATCTTGCTCGCGCCAGAGCTGGTGCTTACTCTCAGCGAACGATACTATCGATCAACAGCTAATCAGTTGTTGTTCAGCGCACGAATCTCGGTTAAAACTGGATAAATTCTCCATACAAATATCGATAGCTATCGATAACATAGCTCAGTAAAAAGCAACATCGATATGTGAAACAAATATTTAAGTTTAGCAACAAGATCTTCATGAACTGCTTACAAATCGAAGCTATCGATGTATCGATAACACACGTTACCTCAGCTTTTGCCAATAAGTCTTCAGCTTTCAATCGCGCCCTTTAATGTCTACAGTTGCAAACTTTCTTTTATAGCAAACATCGTGGCATTTATCGATAAGTCGCTTCGATTGCACTTAGCGGTAATTGATATCGATAGTTGCTCGAACACTTATCGAATCGCTTGCTCGATAGTTTAGCCAAGCTTTGCCCATGGTCGCACCGTGATCCAGCTTGGGGCTCATATTGGGGCACAGGTCCATTGCGTGCTGCGTGTGAACTTGATGGATGCACTGCCTCCGCTCCGCCTTCTGTTGCGCCTGCCGCTCGCCTCGCTGCCACCACACTCTCCCAGCCGCAGCGCGCACCACACGCAGCCGCCGGGCACTTTGCTGGAAATTAAAATGCATACTCAAATTCGCATTCGCATTCGCATTTGTTTGCGCCTTTGCGCATTCACTAAAAATCCAACTATAGCTGCCACATTTCGTTCCCGTTGCCGCTGCAAGCTCTGCCGTCCCCCTCTTGCTTGCAACAACTCGGTGTCAAAAGTCAGAGACATGCAATTTGGCATTTTTCGCCGGAAAATAATATGCATAAGTAGTTGGTTCTTATGTCAATATAACTGAATGCCAAACTATCCTCTTCGCGATTTTTTCGAGTTTTTAGAAAGTACACTCTCTCTCCCTTCTTATCTCTCTATCTCCCTCTCAATCTTAACTCTATACTCCCAGAAGTTGTTCAAATTAATCCCTATTTATTATGCCCATCTTCCAATTTATTAAGACATTTACTTAAGACATTACTTTGTTATTTAACTTATTTTTTCGTTGAATTTTGATTTCTTAAAGAAATTAATTATCTCTTTTTAAATTCGATCACAGAGTGGAAAGAGTATATGAGGTGTATATATATAAATCGGTGTGTCCTAACTGATTGACTGTAAATTGAAATTTCCACTGTAGTTATGTATGTGATGAGGTTGCATGCTAAGACGGGGTTTCCGGAAATTCCACCCATATGTGTGAAACAATCGCGAAAAACGTTCACATTTAGCTTTGAGAGATTTAATATTAAACGTGCCACGTGGCTTGGCATCATTATTCAAAAATCAAGTGAAAATACATACATACATACATACATACATACATACATACATACATACATACATACATACATACATACATACACACATATGTACATACATACATACATACATGCATACATACATACATACACACAAACATACATACATACATACATACATACATACATACATACATACATACATACATACATACATACATACATACATACATACATACATACACACATACATACATATGTACATACATACATACATACATACATACATACACACACACATACATACATACATACATACATACATACATACATACATACACACATACATACACACATATGTACATACATACATACATACATGCATACATACATACATACACACATATGTACATACATACATACATACATACACACATATGTACATACAAACATATGTACATATAAACAAATGTACATACATACATGCATGTCTACACATACCTACATATCTACACACCTACATACATACATACATACATACTAACTTACTTACCCACATACATACCTACTCCTCCTGCTCCGCCTCCTTGGTGCTCCTCCGCCATGCTCCTGAGGCTCCACAGCTTCCAGTGTTGAAGCCGCCTGCGCCTAATTCATACGTGAAGCCTGCAAGCCTTACTTACATTTTTGAGAATCGAGGAGGAGGGCAACTTTAATAAATATATTTTCTTATTTAAGTTTGCTGCGAAAAAAGACAAATTGGTCTGATATTGGCATAGAAGATAATTTGCATGCATACATATACGCACATACATTCATACACACACACACATGCACAAGCACATATACACATATGCACACATCTACATAATTACACACGTAATTTTAATTCAATCAATTTGGCATCTGAATTTGGCATCATTATTCCTAGTTTATAATATATGAGTAGTCTATGCTATATATATCTATATTATGGGCATTATAGATCGGAAAACAAATTATATCGTTCACAGCTTTGGAGCTTCAGTTGGAGCTAAAGATTTTCTAGTCCTAATTAAATCGTTGTTTATTACCTCAAGCAATAATAAAATAAACATTATTTAAGCTTGACAATTAAAAATCAGGAAGGGTTCACTTTTAGCCTTTCACATATATTTGCACAACTTGAGCATACCCTGCACACTTAGTGGGTATTACTAGATTACAAAAAAAAAAGAATATATTATTAAAAAAATAAATAATTTGTATAGTTGTTGTATTGCTTCTGGATGGGTGTTATGTGCCGAGCAGCGATTCGATGCTGAAGCACGAATTGTGCTGGGGCTTGTGCTGCGCCAGCGGCGGCGGCGGCGGCTGCGTCGGCTCTGCGGGCAGCGGGGGCAGATTAGTCGGCTCCAGTGGCTCCAGTGGCTCCAGTTTTATCACAGCGCTGCCGTCGCAGCTGTCCTCCGGACAGCTTCTTTGGTTCGTCAAGCTTTGCGAGTTGTCCAGGCTGTCGCTGCAGACTCCGACCACATCGATGGGCGGCTCATCCTGCTCGTACTGCTCCAGCTCGTCGTGCTCGTGGTCGATGTCGTTCCGGTGCGCGGCCAGATAGTCGGCGCGCAGCTGCTCCACATTCACGTCGAGTCCCTTGAGCCGCAGCTTGCGCGCCTGCCGCTCGATCGCCTTGGCGATGCGCTTGCTGCGCTGTGCGCTGCTCGTGAGGATTGGTCATTGATTTGGGCTTAGACTTAGACTTTGGGTCGCATCTGGTTAACTGTGCCGGCCACTTACCGTTCCCTCGCACGAAGCTCCGGCAACGGTATCGGAGCACCGCTGCAGCTCTGCGGCTGTGCATTGTGCGCCGGCCGACCCGGTCCCTTCTTCGTGTGCTCCTTCTTGCGCCACTTAGCCCGCCGATTCTGGAACCAAACCTGGAAGTGAACAATATTTAATATTAATTAATATGACTAAAAAAAGCCTGATCTAGGACTTGGGTTAGCGATTGACCTATCGAATCGATATGTCGGGGCGCTCGCGAGACGAGCAAAGTCACAAAAAACAAGCAAGAACTTGGTTCTCGAGTGATATTACAGCTATATACTGATCCGATTCTGGTGAAGATTGCTGTTAAATTGGGGGATTAGCTTGTTTGGATAAGACATTAGCTCAGAATCTAGGCAACTGGCTAGATTCAGCTGTGAACCCAGCCTTAACTCATCCTATTTCTGACAATTTTTATTGAAACAAGTCAATCTTTATATACACAAAGCTCTTCCCCTTAATTGATTGACTGATTGACTGTTGATTGACTGATTGACTACAAGACGAAATATTCGGAAAATTCAAACTCCAAAGGGGCGGAAAACATTTGTCAAAGCTCGGATGAAAAACATTTAAGACAATGCATGCTTAAAATTGTGCCAAGCAAACGCAATTTCAAGAGTCTGCGTGATTTAGTCGGACCAGCAAGCGAGAGGTCGCTGGCTCAAATGCCGCAGCAATTGTTAGTTTTTCTTATTGCTTTCTATGAATTGCTAAAAGAAAGTGTTATGCTGTCGCGAGGCTATCTTTTGCCCAGCTAACTTTAGCCTGGATGATAGGGAAATCATTTATTTATTATTTATTATTTGAACCAGTTTTCAGGCAATTTGCATGAGCATACCTTTAAGAATTGGCTAACAAATAATGAGAGACCGTTCGCTGAATAATGAATATTGTGATTATTATAATATCGTTATCATCATTTAGTTATAATGGACGTAGCGCTGTGTGCGACTATTCACAGTTTCAGTTTCGATATGCACTCGTTATTCATGGGGTTAGACGGCGGGTCGTAAACAAAATGGCGTCCCTAATTGAGGGGCAGTTTGAGGAGCGACTCAAGCGCGACGCGAACGCATTTCGAGTGGGCGGGCGAGTACGAGTGCGAGTGCGAGCGAGTGTGTGTGTGTGTGTGTGAGTGTGTGAGTGTGTGTGTGTGTGTGTGTGCGAGTGTGTCACTTCAATTTAAAGTCATTTGCATGCATTGTGCATTTTTTAATGTGCAGCAAATTGTTTTTGAGTAGCTGCATGCGATGCTCACATTGCCTGCGCTTTAACGAGCGCCTCAAACCTCAAACCTCAACCCGAACCAAAAGCAAACCGAATCGCACCGCCCATCAGCCAGCTGGCTCACCTGTCCGTCTGTCCTGCTGTTCGTCTCTCCGGCTGTCTGTCTGTCTTTCTGTCTGTCGCAGTACCTCGACTCGTCTCGTCTTGTTCGCATTGACAAATTGATATGTCATGTCAAGAAACAATTTCTGGCTAAAGCGTAGACGAGTGTCTCAGCCAAAGAAACCGACGACGATAATCACACGGCTGACATGCAACCCGTCCTCGTCATCGTCGTCATCGACATCGTCATCGTCATCGCCAGCGTCAATCGGAAGGGGCTAAAACTTGGTTGCAATTGAAATTACATTGCAACAGCAAGCGACACGAAACGCAATTCGAAATGAAATAAAATGAATTGTAATGAATAAAAATAGTCAGGTAATTGGTTTTATTGAGTAATTGAGTTGCAGTTGCCCTCAAATTGTTTTACAACAAGCACGCAACTCGCTCGATGCCCGATGGCATTACCAATACCAATACCAATACCAATACCAATACCAAGACCAGCACCAATGCCTTTACGAATATCGATACCAATACGAATTCCAACATTAACACTAATGCCGGTACCAATACCAATACGAATATCGATATCAATACCAATACCAAAACCAATACCAATACCAAGACCAGCACCAATACCTGTACGAATATCGATACCAATACGAATTCAACATAAACACCAATGCCAATAACAATACTAATATTAATACTAATATTAACACTAATACCAATACCAATACCAATACCAATACCAATACCAATACCAATACCAATACCAATACCAATACCAATACCAATACCAATACCAATACCAATACCAATACCATTACCAATACCAATACCAATACCAATACCAATACCAATACCAATACCAATACCAATACCAATACCAATACCAATACCAATACCAATACCAATACCAATACCAATACCAATACCAATACCAATACCAATACCAATACCAATACCAATACCAATACCAATACCAATACCAATACCAATACCATACCAATACCAATACCAATACCAATACCAATACCAATACAATACCAATACCAATACCAATACCAATACCAATACCAATACCAATACCAATACCAATACCAATACCAATACCAATACCAATACCAAACCAATACCAATACCAATACCAATACCAATACCAATACCAATACCAATACCAATACCAATACCAATACCAATACCAATACCAATACCAATACCAATACCAATACCAATACCAATACCAATACCATTACCAATACCAATACCAATACCAATACCAACATCAGCAACAATTTCAATAATAATAATTTCAACAATACTTTCTTATTGCTTGCAGTAAAGATAGTAGCAAAGCAAATTGATGATAATTTATCAAGTCTTTTACTTAATAAGAGATAAATCAATAACTTTTGGTTGCACGGAAGACTGACTGATATCGGTAAATAGTAATTGCAATATTTGGCTGTGCTCTCGATTGAATGCTGTCGCTGATTGATCGAAGCTGTTCATGTGCTGACAACTGCCTTTTGTTTTTTGCTAATTAACATTATCGATTATCAATTGATCTATTAAGTAGATGGATACTTACCGCTATGCGGCCCTCCTTCAGGTCCAGACGCATGGCCAGCGCCTCGCGCATAAACACATCCGGATAGTGGCTGCTGAGAAAGGCGCGCTCGAGCTCCTCCAGTTGCCAGGTGTTGAAATTGGTGCGGCTGCGTCGACGATTGGCGGCGGCTGCGGCGCTGCTCTCGCTGGCCGTCTCATCATCGTGGGCGGACGCTGACGCTGACGCCGAGGCCGAGGCGGAAACGGAGGCCGAGGAGACTGCAAAAGTCGATAAGTCGTTGGCATTAGCCGCTTTTGCAAATGGAGCCTGCTGCCAACAAGCGGGCATAATTAACTGACAAGCGCGTGGGCGGGGCAGTTGTATTCGAAGGGCGATGGTGAGGGGGGGGGGGGGGTGGGTTGGTAGCCAACTAGGGTCTGCCCGTCTGTGCATGTTGGGTTTCGCTTACGCTCCGCTCGTATTATAATTGCAAACAATTAAAGTCTATTTATGTAAATTTCCAAGATATGCTAACGGCTAACCGCACACAGGAACAGGAACCCAGTGCCACGCCCACAGCTTTGCGGCCCCAGCCAGCCAAAGTCTGTTTGCCCCAGTCCCTGCTCGGGCGCCCAGCCATAGTCGCAGTCCCTGCCCGGGCGCAGATTGCATTGGCAACGTTGTCGGTGCCCTGCCCGTTGCCGTTGCCCGTCGTTGCCCGTCGTTGCCGTCGTTTGTCTTTCTAATTTATAGCAGCGCAAATTGGTTTTCACAATTAGGAAGTGGTGGGTGTTGCCTGAGCCTGGTGGCTCGGATATGTTTAAAGCGCCGCTGCGGAAGTAAATTACATGCAGCGCAGACCCGATTCGGGCGCCTAAAGGCAGCCAACCACCCACCCACCCACAGCTGGCTAGGCCCAATGTTTAGTTGCAGTTTTAAGTGAAATTTAATTGCAAAATTTGCTGGCTAACCAATTAGAACTGTGCGGGGCTTGCTGGAGTGAAGGTGGCCTAGCTAAATAAAAGCTTATAAAATGCACATCAAGCACGTGAAGATTCGATTTCAGCAGCAGCAGCTCCACGATGATGATGAGCCCAAGTCAAGGAGCTCAGCTCGCAGTCCGCACCCTTGAGTAGCTGATTCGAGGCGCTGGTACGTGATATTCATATGTTAAAATGCACACAGATTTCAACAATTTATAAACACATCTGCTACCAAAACGAAGGAGTGTCTCGCGACCCGTTCCAACCCTCGACTGGCACAACAATGGACCAGACACTTCATAGAGTAACACACACACACACAAGGGGGGGTAAAGGCGAGGAGGGGGGGTAACAGGTCCTTGTCCATTCGTACGAATCTCGGCTCTTGGCTCAGCGGCCTCATCATCACACTTGAAAGAGTAAATAAAATATAATTCCTCAAGGGTGTTATAAATAAAATTATCTGAATTATGGTTTCTGTTGACTTTCTGACTTTCCCCCTCTCCCTCGCTCCTCTCTCTTCCACTCTTTTCCTCTCTCTCTCTCTCTCTCTCTCTTGCTCGCTCTTGTTTAGCTGTGGCATAGTTTCGCTTGGGGTCTGTGCCCCTAATTTGCAGAGCAAGCGCCTTCATATATTAACTATAATCGATAGGAAGCTGTGGACGCGTCGGCCTCGCTGCCTGGCTGGGCGTGTCAGAGCCGAAGTTAAAAGGGGCTGGCCCTAAATCAGATAATGGACAGGCATTTGATAAGGCCGAGCACCGAAATTATGACAGCCACCAAATCGGTTTGGAAAATAATCAATGAGCCGCCCAGCAGAGGCATATGCGACTTAGGGTCTAGAGGAAAACATTCAAGGAACAGAAGTTGAGCTAAGAAATCGATTTACGATAAATAAAAGACGGAGCCCTTAATATAGACACAGCCAGTGAAGAGCATCCTCGATGCCATCCTTGCACTTCTATAAAATCGATAATTATCGATTCTGCAAAATGCTTAACTCGAAAACTATTAGAGCTGAATACATCTAACTAGGCAACTAGGCTCTCTTGTAGCTTTAACTGCTTTAAAATATTTCTCTTTTTATATACTTAGCTTCCCATACTCCATTCAAAAATTAAAAAGTAACTTATTTTTAAAGGTATAGCCCTGGGCAGAACTGAAAATAACGATCGGTCGAGCAGTAGAGTCCTTTATGGCAATATATTATCATTGCCAAGATATTATTTTTATGAAACTCAGCATTTACGAGCTTCACTTCAGTCGCATAGTTGCGAAAGGGTATTAGGTCGTCGGCCTGCCGAACTTATTCCAACACTCTCGTCTGTTGCTCTGTAGTTCTTGCTATATTTTTCGCCTGTCCCAATTAAATCTTGTACCAAAATATTCGTTAGCTCTCGAATGTGTTTTGTTTTCTCCTAGGACTTTGCTGCTGGGATATATTGAAGCATGTTCCGGCTGACGAGCAAGAGCTCCAGGCTTCACAATACCCCAACTCATCTCAGACAGCAACTCTTTCTCTCGCTCTCTCTCGCTCCCCTTCTCTCTCATTGTCCCGCTAGCACCTGCTTACATATAAATCTGTTTGTTGTTCCTTGTATTTTGGCCTAATTAAAAATGGGTAGCCCAATTTTAATTAGGCCAGCAAATGGTGCACAGTTGCGAGGCGCTTGCAAATTTGCATATAAATAGTATAAATTGTTATTGTCGCTTTTGTTGTTGCTGTTGTCGCTTTTGTTGTTGACTCTGCGGACAGTGTCTAATCTACGGGCTGCTGCATTGGGTCCATCTAACGCCTATTGCCCCTTAGTTTTGGCTAATTTCAAAGGTCGTTAAGCAAACAAACTCAAGTGGAACCAAATGCAGCGACAAAGAGCGAGCGCGTGAGGTGGAGAGAGCGGAAGAGAGACAGCGAGGAAGCAAGGGGGCGATTGGCCTGAACTGCGGCCCTCGGGGAGAAAAGAAAAATAAAACACGGCTCATGACCATAACGCTGAGCGGACAAAACTACCCGCCTCGGGGCCAAGCAAAAGGCGAATCAAATCTCTAACAGAACCGTCGCCAGAACTACTGCCAGCAGTAGCAGCAGCAGTAGCGGCAGCAGTAGCAGCAGCAGCAGTAAATTTGGTCCCACAAGAATCAGCCGAACGACCCACAAAAAATTGCCCAAAAAATCACCATAAAAATCTATAAAAAAAATTAACTAGCAGCAACAACAACAATAAAAAACGTGGGTAAAATGCACAAAAAAAAAAAATAGTCGAATAAAAAATATAAAATGGAAAAAAAAAAACGTAGAATAAACGTTGGGCTCATTAGCATTTATAGGCCACACAAATGTCAGACGTGGGGGTTGTCGAAAGGCCGCCTCGGACCGGGTCGTGGCACCTTTTGAGGTTCATTAGAAACTTGTCACATGATTTGATTTGCTTTTTGCATTTTTTTTCTCTTTCTATTTTAAACTGAAAAAAATTGGAACAAACTGACAAAAAATGAAAGTCAAATAGAGGCAGAGGCGCAGTAAAAACAAGTGAGAGGGATTTGGTTGGAAGTGCCCGACTAGGCGATGCCCTGAAGCCTCTTCTAAGCAATTGAAGCTCGATCTATGAAAGTTACTTCATTTAATTTGGAGACTTTAGCCCTTGAAAAGTAAGAGGTTTGCTCAAAATAACGGGATTTCTAAAACGATTTTTATCGATTGCTTGAAAACGAAGAATTTGCTTCGTTTATCGGAAACAAACTTGTACTGCCCGGGCACTACGAGGAGACGTAATCCGAGATAGACGCAATCATACATATGCATGGATGCACGGAGCAACAAACTAACGGAGAGACGGAATCTCGGACGGAGGGATGGACGGGCGGATAGATGGACGGAAAGAAGTACGGACAATCGGACAGACAGACGGACGAACAGGACTAGATTGACTCGGCTATTGATGCTGTTCAAGAATATATATACCCAATGGTATCTACGATCCATCCTTCTGCCTGTTACATGCATTTGCACAAAACCAATATACCCTTTTCACACATTTTCAATGGGTTCAGGTTATAAAAAATGAGGGGCAGAAAAAAACATGAACGTTAGGTCACACACACACATTAGGGCTGCTAATTATGCGACCCGCGGCATAGCTAGCACCCCCACCCTTTTCCCTCCACCCTTCGCGCTGCCTTGTATCAAACAAAAAAAAAAAACATAAACAACTACAAAACAGGGCGTTAAGTCAGCCACGCGCCCTCCTTTTTTTTTTGCAGGGTATTCGATTTGTTTCTCCTGTTTTTTATTTATTTTTTTTTTTGTTGCCTTGGTTTGTTTTTTGTTGTTGTAACCCCTTTCCCTGCCCCTTTTCACTGCCTGTCAAAGTCGTTTAGCTGCTTGTTGTTGTTGTTGCTGTTCTTTCACTTTGATGAATTGTTCGAGAATCCAGAGCTGCGTCTGCAACTTTGGAGTGTGTTAAATTGTTTGCACACCGCACGCTAAATGCCCAGCCCGTCCCCGACCCCCTCGGAGAATCTGAGACGTGGGAATCCCGAAGAGCCGCAATAAGAAGGCATCTCGAAACACGGCCAAAATCTACAAAAGTTATATTGCATATATGAGTTAAAGGCTTTATCATCTAAAAGGGGCAGCAAAAAGTCGCTTGAAAGCGATTCGCAATGGGATTTGAGCGTCGAACCAATATCGTGCGCAGTCGATGGCTCGAACCCCCGAGTGGACAAAATATTTGTATCTTAAATTAAAATTATAATATAAGAATTGTTATTGGTAAATAAAAAAGCAGTTTGTTACTCTCGCACGTCGAACGCCGGGTAATTTCTGCAGTATTGTTCAGTTTCTTACTGCTGGCATGTAATTGGCCAGGTTAAGCGGTGTGCTGCAATTACATTTGCAATACATTTACACACCCATTCCCTAAGCGAGCGCGGGTGCGGTAGGGGAGGAGTGGAGGAGGGGTGCTCGCTCGCACAGTGGGCAACAAATGTGTGGCAGTTAAATTAATGAATTTCTTTGCACTTGCCACGACGGTAATTGGCAGAGGCCCAACAGTCGAGTGAACTGACCCGAGTGGACTGACACAGGTGAGGATAGGGGAGTGTTGCGGGGGGTTAGGGAGGGCTCACCTCAATCTGAAGCGATCTGGCGAACTGGCGCGTCAGCTGCCAAGTTGCACATGAATTTATATGAGTTGTTTGCATTAAAATGAATTGATCGACACGACGAGCAGCGGCCGCGTATGTAATCTGCCACACACACAAGCCCGAGCCTCCTCCTCCTCCTCCTCCTCCTCCTCTCCTGGCGCTGCTGGCAGCCCGGGTGCCGGGTCATTGCTCATCTGCCACGCCAGGCACGTCAACGCAGCAAATTACTTGCCGCTGCTGCGCGATGCAAAATTGAAAATTCAAGTGGTTAACTTGGCAACATGTTGCCGATCCTTTAGTGTCCCCCCCCCTCTCTCTCTCCTTGTCTGTGTCTGCCTCTCGCTGGTCTCGTGTTGCATGTTATGATTAAATTTTGATAGCCAACAACAATCAAGTCAAGGAAAATCAATAATTTTTACGCATCTTGTTACGTTGCTGCCAGAGTTGGAGCTGGAGCTGGAGCTGGAGCTGTAGCTGCAGCCTGTGCCCAGCCCAGCCCCGGGTCCGCTCTGACGAAAAGCTCTCAAAGAACGATCGCTGCCCGCGATCGACGCCGACAGCGGGCAGCGGACAGCGGGCAGCGGGCTGCGACACGGCAAAGCGGCGCATAAATGTTTTGTTGTTTTAATGAAGACGTCGGCTCCAGCTTCAGCTCCGAAGAAGACATCAAGGCGTTGCATGCCAGCAAAAATGTTTCCTCTTCTTTTTCATTTTTTTTTTTTTTTTTTTTTTTGCATTTTCTTATTCCCTACGTTCGAGGGGCGCGTCAGCGTCTGCGTCGTCTGCACGCCATGACTATCGAGGCCTTTAACGCTGTCTTGGCTGCTGCTCCCGCTCTTTCGCTCCCTCTCTCTCTCTCTCTCTCTCTTACTCTCACTCAGTCTTACTCTCTCGCTCGCTCTCTTTTGGTCGCCCTGGCCTTTGCGGCTGCATTACGAATAGGGTCTAATTATTGTGGCAAGCCCCTGAGCTATAATTTGCCTGATTGATTTACATAACGATCGAAAATGATCAAGACATTAATTTCTTATTAACGTCGCTCGCTCGCTCGCTCTCTCTTTGGCTTGCTGTTGCGCTCTCGCTCGCTCGCTCGCTCGCTCGCTTGCTCGTTAGTTTCGGCTTGGGCTGGCTTGGCGTTGGCGTCGCTGCCACTGCACAACATCCCAGTCGCAGTTCCAGTCCCCAATTCCAACATTGTTGCTGCCCGCCTGCAGCTGCATCGCTGCTGCGCCTGCGCCTGCTCTGTCTGGGGCGTAACTCTGGAGCAATGTTCCGCGTACGGCGCTGCCGCTGCCGCTGCCGCTGCCGCTGCATCCGCTGTCCATCTTCAGCTGCTGCACATAGACTTTTTTTCAATTTCTTCATTTTACTGCCATTTGGCCTGCGCTCTGCATTCGCTGCTCGAATCTTGCGCTAGAGGGCGCCACTGCGTACCGACGGCCAACAATAACAATCAATCGCAGACACCCGCTGCAGCCGCTCTCTCTCTCTCTCACACACACACACATACAGTAGTGCACCTTCCCGTTGCCCAATATGCAATCGCGCACTTTCGCACTCTCTCACACAATGTCTCTCTTTGAAAGTTTTGTCCAATTTGGTTTGCTTTCCTTTTGCCTTTGCCTTCCTTCCAGTGGCTTCGCTTTTTGCCTCTGCGGCTCTCGCTGATCGTTTTGTTCGTTTCGGACATAATTAATGTTAGTTTTAACGCTGCTTGAAAATGTTATTTCCCTTGATTATAGCAGGGCACAACGGACAACGGCTGTTGTTCGTTGTTGTTGTTGTTGTTGTTGTTGTTGCTGTTTACTGCCGCTGATTGTTGGGTCTTGGTGTTGGGCCTGGTTGCCTGGTTGTTGGCGTTCCCTCGCCTGGTTTGCTGTAGGCAGTCATGGGGAAACATTTTATGACGATTACTGTAATTCGTTGCCGCAAACAATAATTACTTTCCATTACGAAAATGGCGGGCATATTATCACCTGAATATCACACACATGCGCATGCACACACATAGACACACACACACACACACACACACACATAGAGCAACTGCAAGCAAGAGCGAACACAGGTGTTAAGCGTATGTGCCGACATCGTCGCAGTCAGCGTCGCAGTCAGCGTCGCAGCCAGCGTCTGTGTCAGACGTCAACGTCGCCGACGATCGCAATTCGCCACGGCAAATGAAACGTTTCGCTGCGGTTGCGAGTCAAAGTCGTTGTGGCGTTGTCTAAAATTTTCGGTAATAAAATATGACAACTCAATCAAGGCCCATAAAAGCCAAGGCACAACAACAACAACAACAACAGCAACTGATGATCAGGGCGGGTCTGGTTTCAGTTTCGGAGCAAAAGCTCAGTAATTTGCAGAGGCTGCAAAGGCGATCAAAATTTACGATCATTTTGTTTTCAAAATCAATTTAGAAAGGAAGCGCGGCAAAGATCAGCCAGCGCACAACAGATGCTCAGCACGGCGAGAGAGAGAGAGAAAGCTCTGCTGTGGCCAGACAGAGTCCGAGCTAAAGCTTCAAATTGAGTTCTTAAGTTGTGGCTGCATTTTGCGCTGTGGTCCGTGTTGGTTCCCTCCTTTCACTGATCGCACGATCAGTTTGCAGTTCAGGTTCGAGGCTGCCACATTGTTGACCGCGGGGACGGGGACGGGGGCTTGGTTGAGGTATGCGGGATTGGGGCTTACAACTGGTATCTGGCCGAAACTTTTGCTTTTCGGCAGTTATTAGCAAGGTAAAACACGAGTCTTGCACATTTGAGAGCTTGTAATTTACTTAATTTGATTACGAACGACGTCCACCTCGAGTGGGCGTGCAACCCTGGACCCAGGGTACGTATCTCGGGGGTATCTCGGCTGCAATCTCTGCCCGAGCTGAAGAAACAGCATGCAGGTGCAATGCAAGGTTCGAGCTGAGCTTAGGCAAATATGCAATTTAAGTGGGTGGATGGACATGATTGGAAAATTAAGAAATCGAGCTCAAATCAGCGAACCTATAAGCTGAGGCAAATCAAATTAACCAGTTGAGCTTTAAGCAAGCTTTCAGAAAAAACGAATCGAACGGAACAAAGGAACAAGCTAAGCCTTAAGAAACGAATCAAACACGAATCTTACAAAACATACGAAGGACACGAATCATAATCGAATCAAAAGCAACAAGTGAACTACTCGAGCTTTAAGCAACGAATCAAAAGCAACACGTGAACTACTCGAGCTTTAAGCAACGAATCAAAAGCAACACGTGAACTACTCGAGCTTTAAGAAGCGAATTAAAATCGAATCAAAAGCGACATTTGATCTAGTTTAACTGGTTGAAACGGAGCAAACGAACTAGTTAAGCTTTAAGAAACTAATCCAAGACGGATCAAGTTGCCGGCGCGACTCAGCACAAGTTCAAATGAACTGTTCAAATGAACTGTTCAAATGAACTGATTCCGCAGCTCAACTCGCGGAATCAGAGCTCTAAGTAAATCGAATTTTTGGTTTTATTTATTTATTATTGTTCTTGTCGAATTTGCGTTCTATTATTTTAAGGCTTAAAATTAATTGTGCAAACAAATTTAATTTATGAGCAACAACAAAACAACAACAAAAATCTATTAATATAAACAATAGTTTATTAATTGAAAGTTATGTATGTGTGTGTGTCTGGGCTATGGCTTATGATTTATGCATAAGGAAGGCGAACAGGGCTACAAAAGTGCTAAAAATGAGCAACAACAACAACAACAACAACAACAACAACAGCAGCAGCAGCAAGAAGAAGAAGAGCTACAACGAAACGGCAAAGCAAAAAAGCAGAGCGCAAAAATAAAGCTCAGCATAAAAATTGATTTCTGCTGCTGCTTTAATAAATTCTCAGCTGCCTGTTGTTGTTGTTGTTGTTGTTGCTGTTATTGGCCCGAGCCAGAGCGGCAGCAACAGCAACGACAACAACAACAACAACACAATCTCAATCAATTTCAAGTCGCACATCACATCAAAACAAATTACCAGGAATTAATTTGCCATCAGAATCACGCAAGCGCAGAGACTGAAACTGAAACTGAGACTCGAACTGCAGCTCCAACTCGAAACTGGAAACTCGAAACGGAGACGGCCGGACAGCGACACCGACGTCTGAAAAGGGAGAGAGCGAGAGAGGGAGAGAGAGCGAGAGAGCGAGAGAGAGAGAGAGGCAGACGCCAGGACGTGCGGCCAACGAGTTTGTTTGCGGCGATGGCGATTAATAGAGCGTCATGATGGTGGCTAAGAGGGGCGCGTGCGAGGGCGAGGGCGAGGGGATGGCGGTGATGGTAGGTGCCGTGATTAATACATGAGGATTTAATTAACTTGCCATGCTGCGCACTTGCGCTATCTCGCTCACACCTGCACATATATCTGTATGCCGCCCACACGCCCCACACACTCCCGCTCTCGCTGTCCATGTCGAATGCTCTCTTCACTTGGCTCAGTGCACAAACTATGGCAACGTCAACGGCGGCTCGGGCCATCGAGCGAGCGACAGAGAGAGAGAGAGAGAGAGAGAGAGAGCAAGCTCTGCAAACGGCAACTTGTTGTAAATGCTGTGCGTAAAAGCAGAGCCCTGTATTTAAAATTGATAAAATGGGCAGGCAAATTCGAATCTATAAGCGCTACGGCATATATTTACGCATTTTCCGCGTGTGTGTGTGTGTGTGCATGCATATATATATGTGTGTATATATGTATATGTTGCATGTGCATATAAGAACAGCATCAAAAGCTTTAATAGACTGTACGCAAATTGGGCATTACATATACATATGTAATTAGTACACACACACACACACACACACACACACACACACACACAGGCAGTTCAAGAGCGGAGCTGTTACACATGTGTGCGTACATGTAATTGAAACGTGTTTTTCTTTATCTGCCTTGTCCATTGTCCATTGTTGTTGTTGTTGTTGTTGTTGTTGCTGCTGTTGTTGCTCTTGCTGGCGAACGCCTGCAGCGCGAAAATCGGTGGCATGTATAATTTTTATCACCTTTAATTAACTTTTCAATTAATAAAAAAAAACGTAGCAGCAGCAACAACAACTCGTTGTTGTTGTCCTCGTTGATGTTGTTGTTGTTGTTGTGTTTGTTGGTGTTGCTGGCAAATAAAATGCCGTCGGCATTTGAATTACCTTTTGTAGACACGCAAATTTGCGAGGGGCAGCAACAGCCGTTGCAACAAGGGGGGCAACTGCAAGGCGCAAATTGCGTTTAGAGCGGAACTCAAAATGGGGCAGAACGTCCAATTCCAAATACCCTTATCTATACCATCAATAAAAACATGCCAGCTCCAGACTGATTGACTGACTGACTGATTGACTGATTGACTGACTGACTGATTGACTGATTGACTGATTGATGTTGGGAAACTGAAATTCTTACGCTGTTACCAAGGCTTCTAACATGACTTTTAGCCCGAAATGTAAGTTTATTTCATTTTGCTCAAAAATATTTATATTCAAAACTGAGAACTTTTGTGAAAGACTCGGCTGCAAATCATAAAAAAACTTTGGCCCCAACCATTGGATTTACTTAACCAGATTTGGTTGTTGCCAATTTTGGCTGCAGCTGAAATTTAGCCCGCAAATTCCGCATGAAAATATTGTCTTAATTCAATATTTTCAATAGAACGGGCAGATACAAATTTAAATAAAGCTGTCTCGAATCTTCAAGAAATTCTGGGCACAGATCTTCCAAAAGAATTTAAGGAATATTACCTTAACATGGATAGATAGATAGATAGATAGATGGATATATGGATAAATAGATGGATAGATAGATCGATGAATAGTCACAGAGATACATTTATGGATGAATAGATAACTAGATAGATGGATGCATATAAACATATCTCTGCTTCTTTCCTTTATTTTTTATAAACATGATTGCTTTGTCTTCTATTTGACATAGTTTTCAATTTGTACTCAAAACAAATCTGTATTTTTCTATAAGTAAACGATAACTCACTGAAAACGATAATCGATCGATAGCTGATTACACAGCAGCTATCGATAGGCGAACGAAAAGCTATCGATAACTAGTTGCTTATGACTCTTATCCTTTTGAGCTACTTCACAAGCAAAATTGCCATTTAGGCATACATCTGCATAATATATATCGATAAATGTTATCGATAAGTGGTAAAACTTTTAATTTCGCATATATGTGGAATATATTGGCATTGCTTGTAACAAGCAAACACACACACACACACACACACGCACACAGGCGAAAGTTATGGCAAAAATATTTGCCAAAAATTGATTAAAAACCGCACACGAGAACAAACAACAAAATCATTTTCAATGGCAACAGAAACGGAAATCACAACCAAATATACACACACACACACATACACGCACAGAGAGAGCTAGAGAGAGAAAGAGAGAGAGCTAGAGAGAGAGGGAGCGACTGATAGTGATAGAGATAGCTAGCAAAATGGCTACAAAGTCAGCTAAAAGTGTCATTACAACTCACAAAAATCCAACAAAAGTTTGCCAAAAACCGAGCCCAGCAAAACTTTCAGGGACGTCTGGGCCATTGTTGTTGCTGTTGTTGTTGTTGTTGTGGCATAGGGCTCAATTCAATTTTATCGTTTCAATATTAACCCAAAACAACCCCACAATATTGCCTTCATTTAAGGTTTATTAGATACAACGACAGAGACGGAAACGGAGACGTAGACGGAGACGAAGACGCGGGGCGTTGGGCGGCCCAACGAGCGGAACGCCAGGCGATGGATACAAGAAATATGTATGTAGCTACAACAACAACATTAACAACAATAACAACGCAAGCTACCAGCCAGCCAACACACACACACACACACACACAGCAAGAATTTTCCAATTTACAAACGTCGCCAAAAGCCAACGAGAAAGCTTTTTGGGGGGCGCTTTGCCGTGTTGTTGTTGTTGCTGTTGTTGCTGGCGAGGGGGAGGAGTGGTGTATCTGTGTGTGTGTGTGTGTGTGTGTGTGTGTGTGTGTGTGTGTGTTCGTGTAACAAGGATAAATGCCGCGCTGTGATTGTGTGTGTGTGTGTGTGTGTAACGGCATAAACATTGATCCAACCGTAAAACTGGCTGACAATCGTGGCCCGCCTTGCCATCCCTTTCTCCGCCTCGCCTCCCCCCGTCTCGCCACCGGCCGCATATCCTGCCACAAAATCCCAGCTCGGACGCCCCA